GATTCGTTCAAAGATTTTGCTCACAGCACTTAGAATAGAGATTGGTCTGTAATTATTTAAAAGATCTTTTGCATCTCCTTTATGAAGTGGCTCAACTTTTGCAATTTTCCAATCATCTGGAAATACACCAGTTGCTATTGAGCAGTTAAATAAGTTGCATAACGAGTCTGATATCACTGACGCGGCACATTTTAACAATTTAGCCGGAATCTCATCAAGACCCATTGTTTTTCCTTCCTGCAATGAAGAGAGTAACTTAAAAACAGCACTTGGTGTTGTCAAATCTAACGTGAAAACCGTATCCGCTTGTTTTAAATAATCACCAAAACCGCAATTATTTAATTCATCCGGTTCATCAGGTCTCAATTTCAACCCAATTTCTGCAAAATGATTATTAAGGCACTCTGTTAAGTCAGCTGAGTCACTGATCACTCTATCATTGCACGTAAGATGAGAGATCCCGTCTGACTTAGCATTAAGATACATTAGCTCATTGATTGATTTCCAAATTTCTTTTGGATTTCCTGAATTTGTTTTAAAATATTGATGGTAATAATCGGTTTTTGCTTGTCTAATATTATTATTGCACGTATTTCTCGCATCTTTGAATTTTTTCCAGTAATGGAGTGTGATTATCAACAACATTCATAAACAGACAAACAAACAGACAGACAGACAAACAGACAGACAGAGATACACAGACAGAGGGTTGAAAACATCCCCTATCGGGTTGGAAAACCTCCCCTACTTAACCCCCGGTTACCACGGATAGAAAACCCAATACCCCTAGTTAACCCACCCCTTCCTCCTATCCCGAGCCCCCAATTCCACGCATCCCACGGGTAGCCCACGCGGGACCACCAGGTCCCATCCCCCACGGCCTTTTCCGCCATCATCTTTGTTTTTCGCCTTGGGAGACTTGGGTCGAAGATTCTCGATCGTCAACCTAGAAAGACATGACAATGCATGCGAGAGTTTACATGAGAGTTTTCTCAACTTTTATTGCTTGACCAAACGAGAACAAGAGTTCCATGAGAGTTCACAAGCGAGAGTTTATATGAGGTTTTACTACCGTATATATCAGTGGTAGAAAAGTGCTTGAAAATAAATCCCTGATCTTATATCCAGGCCTGTCATTAACCGTTAAAACGACTGGCTACTTGCTTATCTGCGGCCGCCTACTTTTGTCTCAACAAAATTTATATAAACAAAACTTAAGCAATAAACCGTAGAATACTTTCTTCTTTTCATCGCCTCTACTTCAAAATATCAAAATTGAAACAAAATATTCAATGATTCTAAGATGGTCAGGTCTTTGCGCATTTTATATAGGACGTTTTGTAATCTTCAGAACTCTGTAAAATCACATCCAAAATGCAGAAAATGGCAGTTCAGGGTGTTTAGATTTCAGGGGGAATGCACCCAGACCCCTCTTAGTAGTCTCGCGTTACCATACTATATCTTTGGCCGGTTACTATCATTTTGACTGGCCAGCTACTTTCCATGATAGCCTTGATCATAGCACAGGTAGTGTCACGGCTATCAGAGCTCTAACCTTGAGTGGTGCTTCCGTCTGTACACCAGAAGTTCGAATGCATCAACAGCTTTTCTCTTGGACAAAGATGATTCTTCTTTTGATTTCTTCTCAGGAAGTTTAGACTGATCTTTTTGTTTCACGTCGGGTTTAATCGTCTCTGGTTTGTTTCCCAAAACATGACCAATTGTGTCAGCATCGCTTGCGCCAAGCTAGGGAGATATAATAGAAGGTTAGTGGTATACTGGGTTACTGCACACGTCTTTCACCGCAGTGATTGGGGTTTTGAAATATTCAGGGCACTATTTGTTGCATATTAGTTTCTCATTATAGGATTCCCCAAAGTTGATGCGAGCTGGTGGCCATTCCCATTATACAATTATGACGAGTGCCACCTTTGCCCATGCTTATACAATTTTCTGTTTTCCAATTTGTACAATTTTGAAATGTAAGGCAATGTGCTGCGACTTGACGGTAGAAAAAGCGTCGAAAGGAGGGAACAAAACGGTACTTTGGTAAAAATATCGACAAGTTTGGTTCTATAGTATTATGAACGACAAGCACATATCATGATTATGAATTTATGATTATCAGCTTACTCTTCATCGGGGATTTTCAGTGACCGATTACATCAAGTATTACGCTTACTTATATTACCTACTAAGCTTAGACTATTAATTTTTACAACAATTGTGATATTACTTTCCTAACTGTGTTTATCCTAACCCACCCTGTCAACTTTCCCTGTGGGAGGAAACCGGAACACCTTTATTTTAAGGCCTGGATGTTACTTTCTTTATTATTAGCATGACAAAATTACTGGATGCTGATTGGTTGAGAGGAGTACAATTATTTCATTAATTGTACTGCAGTACAATTAATGATTTTCCCAAAACAAACAAAATGGCGGAAACGTATTTTAAACACAAGCGTGAAATGAAATTGTCGTGGAGGAACTAGATGAAAATACGAACAAAAGCACCAAATTTTGCTTTAACAAAAGAACTAAATGAATTAATACAAACAAAAGCTTCAAATTTTGGTTGAAAGTCCGGCAGGACTGGGCTTTGGCGAGAGAATATGATGTTAACATTGAGAAGTACGTATCCAATTTTGTCATGCTAATAATAAACAAGTAATCATGCGATGTTGCTCGTACAATTAGGGATTAATAGTACTTGTGATGTTTGGAAATTTGCCAAGTTGGACTTGCCCCGGCGGCTCGTCCAATTTTGGCAAAATTTCTTAATCCCTAATTGTACTTGCCATCGCATGATTACCTATACATACATACTATTAAGGTACAACAAATCAACAAAATCCACTAGGCATCTATTACTAAATACTTTTGTACCACTGTATGTGGCACTCTTCAGATAAATTGACCTAAAAGGTCTGGTTTTCCATTGAGCACTTTGCCAAAAGTTTTTATAACCAACAAAACCAAATGAGCGTGCGCAAAGCGTAAGCCGCATGGCTCATCCTGTAGAGCGCTCAATATGACCTAAAGGCCATAGAGCGATATCTAACTACAGACGGTACCATTTCGGCCTAATGGGCCTCATCAGTGTAGTGCTGATGAGCAGGATGAAAGTAACTGCTATTTACAGTTACCTTTGATGCCTCACGATTGTGGGACATC